AGCTTTTTTAAACTCTGTAAAACTTCTTTTTAAAAACATTTCTACAAACATTATTCAAACAATATGTCATTAATGTAGTTGTTGTCGCACTACCTTAAACCAATAGGAAATTTCAGTCAGACAGAATTGCAATTTCTTCCTGTCATACAGAACCTACAGCAAGAACATCTCTCAGCTTTTACTTTAGTAATTTCTGAAAGGTATTTCACTAAGGTAACCTATTTCTTCCCTCTTGCAAAGCTTTCTGTGTTCATTTCTGAGCTGCCACTTAGAATGATAGGCATACTTGCATAAACTTTCCCTTTTCAGCCAGCCTTAATTATAAGAGAAAAATAAAACTTTGGATCTCATCCCTGACCCCCTCAGATAGTTGTCCTCCACCTGGAAAGATACATGCACCAGAAAAATGAAACATTGCAATATACATATTAAACATGATAAGATGAAATTTCTAACCTGGATACGAATCCAAGGAGTTTCAGGTGCTCAGAAGGGCTGGAAGGCGTCGGATTCATCAAGTCTCGGATTCGTGCTAAGCCAGCAATTCCAACTCCAACCACTACTGTCCCAAACATTTTGCTAGACTGTCCAAAAAAAAAAAAAAAAAAGGTAACCTTGTTTTTTTTTTTTTTAAGCAGGGAGAAGAGCAACTGGGAAGGAAGGTGAGAGAATGGATTATTCTTGAACTCTGCTTTCATACAGCCAAACCTTATTGAGATGTCAGCTAACAGAGATGTGATGCTATATGCTACTGAACTCACTTGCATCCCATTGAAATGTGGTCAAGCGGTTCAGCCTGTCAAAGGACTGGTCTTGAGACTTGTATTAAACAGCTATGAAATCACAGCTCCAGCAAAGTTCTTCCTTTCCGTGAATAGAAAGCAGGCTTTAAAAGTGAGACATTCTTCTATTTATATTGGTACTTCCACCCTGGAAAGGAGCCAAAAGGTTCTGCAAAACCAGCAGAGCTTTATATAAACCCTGCTGACTTCCTGAGTGTCTGCAGTACAGTGGGCCCCGGGCTGCCACACAGTCAGTCACAGAGTACAGCAGCATAGCTGGAATACTTTGGGACAGGAAGCAAAGAGCATCTTTTCTTGTCCCATGTAACCACTGGCACGTCCTACAATGTCAAGCTGTAACCAACCATCTAATAATCTGGTGAAGATACTTGCTTCACATTTCCATGCACAAAGAAAGCTCTGCCAACTCTTTAATGACAAGCAGGCATGTCTTCAAGATCTACATCTCCCAAATGCACATTTCTGCCACAACGTGGAGGGCAAGACAGGTATTGCACTCACTGGCTGGGCTGCTGGGTACAGGTAACAAATTTTTCTGTTGGTTTTGATTTGCTATTGATTTGCAGAAGCACTGAGCAACTGGTGAAACCTTTCAAACCTGTACTGCTCCAGCACCCTGACAACTAGCAACACTTTGTAAAGTAATTGAAAATTTACAGGAAAAATGGCCTAAAACAATCACATCATGTCCTCTGTATTTTTTGTTCCTTCCATCCCAAGAAAACACCCATTCAAATTCTATTTCTTCTGTCTTGGTCTTCTCCTTCCCACCACTGCCAATCCCTTCATCTGAGTGAACTCTTTAGATTGTTTAGATTTACTGCAGCCCTTTACATCCTTCTGACACTGAAACGGATAGATGGACAGTGCAGCATCACAGCCATAAATGACTGTTCTGGTAGTCTGAGAGGCTGACAGCTGCTAAGAAATTACATCAACTGGGACAAAGAAAAAAAAGATCCTGTCTCCAATCACATGCCTTGTCTGGATTTTGTTTTCTTATAAGCTCCTGCCTATATTCCTACCAGGGCTGAACTCCATTCCCTTCATATATGCCAAAAGGGTACAAAGATAAAACACAGAGCAGCATGTTTAATGTAAAAGAAAAAATCAATTATATACTGAAGAGTCCTCCATGGGCATTACAGTGACATTTCATTACCAAATATTTGAGGTATAACATGATGACACTGTTCACCAGAGAAAAGAGGGCTGAGAGAGAGGTGAGGGGAAAGGAGGGCAATATAACCACACAACCCATTTTCAGGACCAGCCACAGGCAGAGTCTTGGTCTGGACTCTGTTACATTTGCTTTTCTCTGTGGCCAAAGAGAAAAGAGACTGAGACTTTCAGAATGATCTCAGCTGTGAGGAGGCCCAGAAGGTCACTTGATCCAAAACCTATTCAGTTGCACCACGGCCATGCTGAGTTCTGAGTTCTGTTCCATTGGTTGGCAATCCTCCAACCTCTCAGGCCCCTGCTGCAGTGTTTGACCGCTCTCACAACAAGAACTTCTTCCTAGCATCTACAAAAGTTTCCTGTGTTGCCTTTTGCCATTTCATAGCACATCTCCAAAAGAGTGTGGTTCCAGTTCCTCTACATGCTTCCATCAGAAAGCTGTAGGCAGCAATAATAATGCCCTTTACATTTCTTTTCTGCAAGTGGGAAAAACCGAGTTCCCTAAGCCTGCCCTCATTCATCATCTCCTTGAGCCATTTACCATCATCATAGCTCTCCACAGGACTCACTCCTGTATTTCATCAGAGAATCATAGAATAATTTGGGTTGAAAAGGACCTTAAAGATCCTCTATTTTCAACCTCCAGCCCCCACATGCAAGGACACCTTTCACTAGACCAGGGTGCTCAAAGTCCCAACCAAACTGGCCTTTAACACTTCCAGGGATGGGGCATCCACAACTTCTCTGGGCAACCTGTTCCAGCGCCTCACCACCCTCTCAGTAAAGAATTTCTTCCTAATATCTAATCTAATCTTTTCTCACCCCTATAGGCCCCTGTAAAAAGTTCCTCTCTAGCTCTCTTGTAGCCCCCTTTAGGTAGTGGAAGGCTGCTATAAGGTCTGCCCAGAGCCTTCTCTTCTCCAGGTTGAACAACACCAACTCTCTCATCCTGTTTTTTTAGGAGAGGTGCTCCAGCCCTCTGAGCATCTTTATGGTCTCCTCTAGAACTGCTCCAACAGGTCAATATCTTTCTCATGTTGAAGGCCCAGAGCCAGACGCAGCACTGCTAGTGGGGTCTCACAAGAGCAGAGTAGATGGTGAGAATCCCCTCCTTTGACCTGCTGGCCACGCAGCCCAGAATGATGCAGCCCAGAATACAGTTGGCTTTCTGGTCTGCAAGTGCACATTGCCAGGTGATGTCAAGCTTCTCATCAATCAATGCATTCTCCATCCAGCCTGTATTCGCACTTGGGATCACTCCAATCCAGGTGCACTTGGCCTCACTGAACTCCATGAGGTTTGCATAGGCCCATTTTTTGAGCCTGAAAAGGGCCCTCTGGATGGCATTATCCCTCTCCTCCAGTATACTGACTGCACCACCCAGCTTGGTGTCATTGGCAAGTGCATTGCTTAAGGTGCACTTGATCCCACTGTCCTGGGACAAAGATGTCCCAAAGACTGACAGTGTCAGTCCCAATACTGACCCTTGAGGAATACCCCTCATCACTGGTGGACATTATGTTGTTGAGTGCAACCATCCAAACAATTCTTATCTGCTGAGTGATCTTTCCATCAAACCCACGTCTCTCCAGTTCAGACACATGGATGTGTGCAGGACAGTGTCAAATGCTTTGCACAAACCGAGGTAGATGCCATCAGTTGCTCTTCCCCATCCACCAACACTGTAATTCCATCATAGAAGGCCATCAAATATGTCAGGAACTATTGGCCCTGCCAGGTCCACCATCTGCCAGTTCCCTCAAAAGCCTCAGAAGTCCCATGGACTTGTGCACTTTCAGGTTCCTTAGGAAAAGGTCAGGTTCAAAAACACCTACAGTGGGCAGTTCTTCATTCTCTCAGTCCCTGCCTTTGCCTTCTGAGACTCGGGTAGTGTGCCTGGAGCACTTGCCAATGAAGACCAGGGAAAAAAAAGTCATTATGTCCCAGACTTCTCCATATCCCAGCCAGGTCTCCCATTTTCTTCCAGGGAGGACCCACATTTTCTCTAGTCTTACTGTTATCATACCTGTAGAAGCTTTTCTTGTTGCCTTTGACAGCCCTGGTCAGCTTTAATTGTATCGGGGCTTTAGCTTTCCTAATCTGCTCCCTGGTTGCTCTGACAATGTCTCTGTATTCCTTCCATACTACCTGTTCTTGCTTCCATACTCTGTAGGTTTCCTTTTTGTGTTTGAGTGTGTCCAGGAGCTCCTTGTTCATCCATGCAGGCCTCCTGGTGTTTTTGCCTGACTTCCTCTTTGTTGAGATGCATCACTCCTGAGCTCAGAGGAGGTGATCCTTGAACTTATTTCTCGTACCAGGGTACTGGACACAGCACTGCAGACGGATGTAGCCAGGTCCTGTCAGCTACACTCTTGTTAATGCAGTCCAGAGCATGCCACAAGAGCATGTTGTGGCCTGAGGTTCAACTTGTCCATTAGTAGCTGCAGGGCAGCTTCTGACTTTCTAGCCACGTAGTGCCCAACCTGTACTGATGCAAAGGTGTACCAGGGTGAATTTCTGCTGATACTTTTGGTCTGTGTTTGGCCCCAGCCATCTGCAGTAGTTTATATACTCCCTGCCAAGTTCACTGATAAAACAGTGAATTCGTCCTTGGAGGGAGAACTTCTGTATAAACTATTTTAATTGGTGTTCTGTAATTGGCTAAATCTCTTCCAAGGGCATTTGAAAGAGAATTTGATGAGGAGGGGAGGAAGGCTCGCCCCCAGACTCAACTAAGAAAGACCTCCAAAGCATACTGCGCGTCTGTGAGGGGATTTCCAAAGTTCTCACGTGCGTGCAGAAGAACCAGGGGGTTATGCACTTACAGAACCAGGAGGTGGGGCTGAGGGCCTCTGGCTGGGCGGTGCTGGCCACACCTGGGAGGTTGTGGTCACTCAGTTAATTGTATAAAAGCAGATAGTGCTTTATTGGAGAGGAGCTAATCTTCACACTAGGGACAACGTTGCCTTTTGGTGGGGACGCCTGCCAGTTTGTGAACTTACTGACTCTCCAAGGATGCAGCTTCTGCTATGGGTAATTATAGGTATGCTAGGTCGGTAAGATAACTTTATGGGCAACAGCTGGGTAACTGGGGAGGTCGTGCTGGGGGCTTATTTCTCTCTTCCTTCCTCCCTTTTGTGTTTGTTCGTTTTGTTGGCCACCTCTTGGTAATAAATATTGGTTTTTGTTAAGCTTTTAACAGTGTATGGTTTTCAGGCTTCACCATGTCTCGAACCCCTCCCAGGGTTATTCTACATTTGCCTTTGCTGAACATCATGATGTTCCTGTCTGCCCAGGCCTCTCTGATGTATTGACCACTCCCTCCAGCTGGATTTCATCCACAGACTTACCAAAGCTACACACTTACCAAAGTCACACTCCAGGCTATTGTGCAGGTGGTTAATAAACACATTTAACAGTATTGAAGACGAACACAATACTTGCCCTTTCCAGCCATCAGGATCCTCCCTGATCACCAAATGGCTTCATAGGGATATCAAGCAAGTCCCTACCACTCTTGGATGTACTATGTCTGCTGGCAGGGGCTGCTGTACATCCAAGAGCTATATCACCATCTTCCTCTACTGTGAGTAATACAACATTCCCATAGAGTCTGTTAGTAGACTCAGAAAACCTGGAGGTCTGTGGACAAACCTTACTAGTGAAAGCCTTCGGGTTTTGTGTTGGAGGGCAGTCAGGAGAACCCTGCTGATCCATGCCAGCTTTCTGCCATGCTTGTCTCTGCTTCCTGCCCACTGAAGTCAGGCACCTGTGCTCTGGGGAGATCACCCCTGTAGATCAAACTCAGCCTCTCTGACCCCCCAGGGCAGTCTTCCATTAGAACTTGCCAAGTAGAGCCATCAAAAAGCCACAATACCTGCCATTTTGAAGTATATGGTTGCAATTCTTTAAAATTTATATCCATAAAGAGCTCCAAGTGTGCATCAGGACCAGGTCAGTAGGATCTAGAAGTAGCACAGTTCGAAAACAGGAGCTTACTTTAAGTTCAGAAATTTTCAAGGTTAGTAGAGTGTTAAGCTGTTAATATTTGCCTATTGCCTTCAGCAGGATTGGGAGTTGGAGTCATACAGCAAACAAATTCCACTGAACCTCCTACAGTCATCTCGTTTCCAAGAACTGCTTTTTTTTGCTGGTGAGCTGCTGACTTCTGCTTCAACTAAGTGGATAAAGTGGGGGAGCTGACTACCTTCTTCAATGAACAAAGAACATCTCTCTGCAGATGCTCAGGTTGCTGAATATCAATATTTTTGCCCCTCTTTTGAAAATAAACTTTCCTAGCTTAATCTGATGAACACCTTCTGACCTCCTCAAAAGTAATATTTAAGATAAGCAAGATTATTTCATGCTAAGAACAAAACCTGTTACTATGCAACCTGTTGCCATAGCAACCAGCCATTTGGTCCAAGTCAAGGGTGGTTAAGGGTTTGGAGGCTAATACTGTATCCATACTGAAAGAGACAGCTACTAAATGTATATTATAGAACAACTGCTTATACACATAGCTAAGAGAAAAATTGCTATGTTTGCATCCCTGCTACCACTTTTTATTATCCTTATTTTGCTCACACAACAAAATCTGCAGCTGCTCAGGGAGAAAAGTAAATTAGATGTTTTTCAGAACTGTTACAAACCAGGTAAGAGTAGAATAGAGAATACTCATCTGATGAATATATAAAAATTTACTCCTTATTTCAAACCTTTTACATGAGGATAACAGCTACAGTTATCTTTCAAGCAAAAAAATGAGGAAGTAGGAAGCCCAAATCATAAACTGCTGTGCCTGCCTTTCATGCTTTTTTCTTACTATCAGTGACCTCGGCTAAAGCTTTGACAAAAAAGATTTCAGAGGCATTTTCAAGGCTGCTGGACTTTGGCTCCCATCATACTGAAAAAAAAGAAGTACCATAAGTGATATAACAGTACATCAGCCAGTGTCCAAAAGCATTTTTCCCACCCTTTCCTAATGGGCTGTACAAAAGCAAAGGGGCTGGTGAGAAGATTAGAAAAAGATGACCTTCATGCTCACACACTGAGTGGGGAATTCCTCCCACACCCCAGCAAGACCCGCCCTGGCCAGGTTGCAGGCAGGCCTGCCAGCTTCGCTGGGGTGCCCTCTGAAGTGGGATAGGGGGGATGGAGGCTGCCGAATGCAGTGGGAGCTCTTCCCCACTGACAGCCAGCACAAGTGGCTCCTCTTACCAATGCAGACAAGCCCTGCATGACAGGTCTGAGAAAGGCATCCAGCTGAAGAAGATCATTTATCCTACATGATATATCATTGTCCCATCACTCCTCTGCTCTTGAGCTTTCTGTGCTTCTGCTGTGTATTTCCTGCAGTAGATCTATGCTACTCCGAAGTAAAAAAAAAAAAAAAAAATTGCTCCATACCCAAATATTCTTGCAAAATTTAGCAATGAAACAAGAATATTCAGCAGCAAAGCAAACAATGGAGTATGTCCAAAGGGATCAGTCACCCAGCAAGCGTGTTCCTCCCCATGCAATCACACTGGGACTTCAGCCTCTACATCTCAGAACTGTTTACACTTACTGAGGTAAGCTTAAGGGAAGTGAGGCTTACCTCTATTTTGTGCAACATCACTAAGGCAGTGCAAAGTCCGTGGAGAGGCAAGATAAAAGTCAGAACTTAAGAACAATTTCTTTTTCAATAAAATTTTTCATGGCATACTTAGACATTACAGAATGAGAACGGGTACCTTCTCTCATGATATATAAAGAATTTCAGTAAGCCTCATGCATTTTCCCTGCAGTTTTCACAGTCTTGTTCCCACAGATATGAATGAGTGACTCACATCAGAAATCAAAATATTTTGTAGTTCATGTCACATATAATAACATGTAGTTCATGTCACAAATAACACTAATGCAAGAGGCTTTCCTGAAGCACTGCCATCTGGGTCTTTTTAAGTGTGCTACTTCAAGCGCCACAAATATCTCAAGAGTAACAGAAACCTCACAGATGAGTACTTAATCTGAAAAAACTGTTGTCAAGGTTAGTTCACTCTTGCATAGTCAAAAGTTGAACCATGAGTGTTTGAGCTGGCTGCTGGAGGGATCCACCTTATACACATATATTCTCACTTACATATTCTCACTTAGCAGACCTTCAGCTTGCTCAGTCAGAAAGGGGACAAGATGAGACTGCTGGTGCTGTCTGTGTTTCTGTGAGTGCTCTGTGATCTGTGACTGACCATGTATATATGCATATACATGGTGTACATGTGTGTTCTGCGTGCATGTGCTGACTGGAAATATGTTTTCAGCCTAAATACTGACCACAGGTCATACGAAGTCTTGCTCCTTTCAGGCTGTTGGATTCCACCTGATCTTTTCTTCTAATATAAACCAGGCTGGACTGAGGAAGTTTTCCGGAGCTCCCTTTGAACAGACTTGTGGATTAGACATCCTCCAAAATGTTTTCCCTGTTACTGCAGTGACACTCCGAGATGAGGGTTGCAGAACCTCAACAGAAATTTTCAGGGGAACACCAGACAGACAGCAGCAGTCACTATAAACTCAACAAGTTGAAAATTTGAAGTTCCTTTCGCACCTAACTCACTGATTTCAAACACCCAGAGAAATGGAAGATGCTGTACTCAAGGTTGTTTGTACATGATACAGCCTGTGCCATCACATCTTACTCTCATTGTCTACTCTTAGCAAGAAACATCTGCCTGGAGCAGGGAAAGCAGAAGCTGAACAGAGTGGCTTCTGTTAGTGTTGGGGTTTTTGTATGAAAAAATTCACAAACGCTCCAATTTAGCAGCCTATTCAGACGCATAAATACCCTTTGTTCTGCAGGAAACCATTTAGGCACTTTAACCTCTGCATGTACTGAAGGACCTGCTGGAAGTAGACCCAGTACGGGCCTCACGAATCCTCACTAAAGGCAGGACTTGAAGAAAAAGGCAAAGCAAAAATGAAGGCAAAGAAAATTATTGTTTGAATGCCAAAATGCTGGATTGTTTTTGCTCTGCATTTGCTGCAATACAGAGAGAGAAAAGTAAAGTGTTCTGCAAGAAAGAGACAGACAGGAAGGCAACCCCCAACACTCTTTGTTACTTCTCTTCAAAACATTAACTGAACATAAAGTCAGAATTTGTCTTGAAAACCTGACAAGACCATTTACAGTTTCCACATTTCAGAGGAAAACAGCAGCACTTAGAAGTTGTACAGCAAGCGTGTACGTTTTCCTCGAAAGCCGTTTGTTACAGCCTTAAATGTCAATGCTTCCCAGCACCTCTTCATCTCTCCTGCCCATCTTTCAGGCTATCAAAACCCAGGCCACAGTCTCTTGGCAGGCACACAGGCTCTGCTGAATGAGTTATAACTTTAAGGCACCAACTCTTATACAGGTTTGCCGGTGGAAAACAGTCTCTCATCCTGACTGGCACCACTGCGGAAAGAGCCAGAGGGGACTTTTCTTCCCGCATTTTAAATGCCATTTGAACAATACACGTGCATTGTTTCACATTTTTATGCAGGTTCACCAATTAAATTACAGTTTTCCCTGGCTGCCAAAGCCGAAGTTGATATAGTTATATTGAGATATGGCCAGATGCTGTGTTACAGCTGCCAAACAAGTACCTTTAGTCTACACAGTGGATCGTTGATAATAAAGGACTGCACTTGTACCAGATACGCTGTCTCCAACATTAATACCTGAGTAGAAGGAAAACTTTTATTAGAACATAGTTCTGCAAGCTAAATCTGCTAACTCCAGAGTCTGCAGTGGTTCTGACTCCCATCTCAGTAGGGCTGCTTTCCACAGCCTGCAACTCCATAATTGAAGCAAAACCATTTCATGAAAGTAATATAACACCATGAGAAGTACTGAAAGAATAACCTGAAGATCTGGTTTTAATATGTGATATATTCCACCCTGTGGAGGACTGAAACAGAAGTTCTGTGAGGGACATGAATGGGTATGAATGACCATTTCATTCTGTTCTCTTGTCTGTATTCACACTTTGTGGTTCAGATTTGGTTGCTAGTATGCAGAGGAAAAACAAAGACAAATAACACTTTTGAGATAGGTCAGGCAGGCTCATTTTGTTTAAAACTGAGAGTCAAATTACATTTTGATATACCTACACTGCTAAGGCTGAAACTATCCAAGAAAGAACTGAGCCTGCTTTGGGACACCTGAAAATTAATTAAGAGGAAGACATGAAGGACTCCACTTTTTATTTTATAAAAATATTCCCTTAAAAAAAAAAAAAAAAGCAAACCCTTACTTATAATGGTAATTTTCCAGGAACTATCCTGGAGTGAATTTCAGAAAGTCTCCTGAAACTTCTGGTGGGCAAATAAACAATTGCACATAACTGCAGCCTCATCACAGCTACTTTTTAACCAAAAGGCTGCTTGTATGTGGCTAATTAGCACATGCCTAAAACAAAGAGAGACAAAAAAATGCCCCCAAAACTTATTTCAGCCTTTAATGTGCTATAACATTTTTTGAAAGCCAGTGATAGAAGAAGAGAAGAGTGTTTTTACAAGCAACAAGCCAATTACTTTGGAGTAAAGTCTATTCAGGACAATGAGCTATGTTTTGGAGCTATCAACAATTCACAGATCCTAATTTTCCATGAGATCAAACAATATTATTGCTACAGTCCCAATCTGTGCCTGAGAAAATAACCCCTGTAAAGCTAAAAACGGTTCTAACTCAAAAAGGCAAAAAAAAAAAAAAAAAGGCATGCAACACATCCTCCACCACTTTTTTTTGATTTAACACCCACATAAAACACTAGAGCTATCACAAAGTTGAACTCTGCCAGGTCCCTGTGGACCATGAACCATGTTTCCTGGCTTCCCTGCAGAGCAATAAAGCCCCCAGCATAAAGTGTCTGCACAGCTAAGTTTCTGAACACTAATAATTGAGACTGCTTGAACATCTATTTCATACAAAGATATTATTGTTTTGTACTGACTCTTACACTTTTTTTTTTTTTTGAGAGCTTTTCATATTCTGGTAAAAACAATGACTGGAGGACTACTTATCCATACCTGCATTTCTGGGGAAACTTTACTCAGAGCTAATCACGAGGGCAAGATGCTGAGACATGCCGGAGAATCTCAGCCCATTCCCTTCCCTCCCTTATGCTGCTCATCGTGTTTTTGCTGTATCACCTACTGAGAGAAGAGGCTTCTCCACATCACTTGATAGATTCACAAGTACTTTGCAGGTAAACTCCAATTCCGAAAGAGGCTTCCAACCTTTTGTTGTAATACAACTGGAAGTGATGATGAACAATTACAGAAAAATGTTCTGAAATATTTTCTCAATTATTACATCTGCCCCTGAATTTTCCTGCCAATTACTGCACTCCTTTCTACAAGCTCTTAATTCTTCAGAGGGCCTAAAGAACACAGAGCTGTGTTGGGCAGATGAAGGAAACCCATATTTCCAGGCTGTATTCTTACTTTATCCGAGAAGTTTACTGGGTGACCTAAAGCAAGCAAATCACACCCCCTTTCCTCCCAGTTCCAGAACAGCAGAAACCTCTCTCTCTGTAGAGCATTCTCAGACCTACTGACAATAAGTGTAATGTAAGAAGTAGGTATTACTACAACCTCTCTTCTTCTCTGTAGGAAATCCCACACAGAACAGACATCTAGAAAATATGACTGTAACTAAAGTTTGTATTGAAATATCTATATAAAACAATGCCCTATAATGCATAACACAAAAAGAGATTTCTTCTTTCCCTTCTCTTGCTGTTAAATTAATCTGAAACTCGAAACCTAAAAGGAATTATATGCATGCTTAGCTTTAATCGCAAGTAATCCCATTGATTTCAACGAGAATACTCCTACGAGCCCATTAAGAAATAAGAGCTCTTGCTGTTTACTGTAATATTAGTAGGCATAAGAACAAAACACATATCCAGCTACAAGTATGTTCCATTAATATCTTTATGGACTCAACCCAATAGATGATACCTATCTTCCGGTCCACTAAAGGTCACTGCATCCCAGATCTGTAACAGGCTGACCTATTTTGAGAATTCCCCAAACAAAAAAAGCACTCCTGCTACACGCTGCAGTCACCATAAAGATATTGCTTACCATGGCTGATGAAATCCTCTGCCAGCATCGTTAGTATGAGAGCAACTCATAACACCAGAGGCCTGCCCCATACTCTCTTCAGAGCAAACAATATACACAAAATTTAGCTAGTCAGACAAGCATACTTTTTTAGCTTTCTCATCCTCTATCCAGCAGTAAAAAAATGTTTTCACTCTTCTAAAATAAATTGAGAGTAAGATAAAGTGATTTTTTTTTAATAACTAGATTGAGACAACTTAGGAAATTGATAAAGTTTTGCATAATGTTCTATTTTTAAAAATCATGCTCTAACACCTCTGTCATTTTATCAAGTCTACAACTCCGTAGTAAGGCCTGAAAAATGCAATGGTTTCTCTCCATTCATATTACATTTTGGAAATCTACCAATGTCAGACATTGCTCAAGACTAGGGAAAAAGAAGCTTTTGAATGAAGATTAACAATTGAGGTTATTCACTCCTAACTTTAGAGCTCAGTATTTTTCATGTTACTGGGCAACACAAAACTCAAGAATGAGATAGGCCAGCCTCTCTCTCATGAAGAGTTAGTCTGTAAATCAAGGTGCTTTAGCAGTCAAGTAGTCCTGATGTGCTACTCATCTGTTATAATTGTCCCAAAAAAGCAAAACACCTTTACTGAAGTATCAGCCACTAGAGGGGGTATTTGGTATCCTACCTAAAACCTGATAAGAAAATGAAATAAAAAAAAAAATTTAAGGTTACAGAAAACCTGTAAAAGCATATTTCCCACAGTACAGCAATTAAGGTTCTATGCAAAGTGTTTTAGGAAAAACAATCCTTTCTTTGTGTATAACTGAACACAATGCAGAAGCAAACGCCACATCTCCTCTTCCAATTCTTAGGTCTACCCACATCAAACACTGCAATTTCTGTGAGCAGAGATGCAGTTTTATATGCCAAGAACATGGCTAAATTACCACTAGGTTTGATTTGCCTGTACAGTCAGTCAGCTCTGAGCATGTCTAAACCTGATCCTTCAAGCATGCCAAGCTAGAGCCTGACATGTTCAGTCTTGGGCTTGATAAACAAGAAAAAGAACAACCTACAAAATGGTTTCTATTTACAACTGTCTTCCTCTTTACAGATTCACAATCCCCAGATTTATTGTTCCAAAAAGTCTCCAAAAGGACCTAGAAAACTGCCATCAAGTTAGGTCCAACTTCAAACAAAGTAGAAGATTCAACTTGGCTCAAGCCACTCCCAAACTATCTATTATTTAAAACATGTTAAGTGAAAGACGAATATACATTTCAACTCCTGCACATGAATCTGTAATGAATACAAAACTCATCAAAAACCATAAATGGACTTGATGATTGAGTCCATGCAGGGACAGCCTGGAGAAGGGTACAGGATGGATTGTGCCAGTATATTAAGGGCATCATAGATACTACATACTTTGTTAAATTCTGTCAGTTTGGGGACAGCGAAGCTGCTGGTAGAGCTTACAAAAACTCAAGACCCTCTCCAAAATTTATGTAAAAATAACTATAACTGGCTGATAGACTTAAACACCCCCAGCTCCCCTTTATTCCTCACAATCTGCCTTCAAAGATGTGGAGCTGGAAGGTTTTAGTGAAGCTGACTGCTTGCTCAGGGGAGTATTTTAAATACACAACTCATTCAGATCTAGCATGGCCATGCAACTGGGATAAAAGGATCCAGTATCGCTCTTCTTCTTTCCTCTGCCAACTGCTGTACTCGGTGTGGACTCCTACGTTATTTATAACAACTGTGGCTGAACAAATGGATAATATTCCATAAAAGACAGAATCGGCACAAGCACCTAACTTTGAAATAACTAAAACAGCTATTGCAAAGGTTCAGGAGCAGACAATACTCAGGGCACTGAAAGAGGGGAATATACTTTGTAAAAGAGGTAGAAAAATAACAGGATCATGGAAGCACTAGATTTTTTAGAGGCAATACTTGCATTTGAAATGTAATGTAGACATTTCTCTCTATTAACCGGATTTTACTAGAATATATCCACCCCATTTTTTCTGCAATATTTTGGTGAAGTGATTTAACAGTTACTCTTATTGGAGAAGAGATTTGTCCCCAACTCAAGTTCACGTCCTTAACTGCACCATTCCTTTAAACAGCCAAAGAGGTCACTGCATTCTGAAGAGAGTGACTGTGCTGAACTACCACCATCCTGTGCCACCAATAGTAATTTTAAAATGTAACAGCAATCCTGATTACTGCTTTATTCAGCCTTGCTCCTTTTTAAAACACCCATCTAAATCCCTTCTTCTCTGCTACCATAACCCAAGAAAGCATTTTGAGGTTCTGGGAAGAAAGTTAACCTTTTAAGTTTATTATCTATTATTTAAGCCATCCACATCTCAGGCATGACTCTGGCCCCTCCATAAAATGAGTTTCAAACAATCTCTTTCTTTATTATTAGAAATGGAAAACACAAGGCATCTTACATTAATATGATAAACACAAACACTACACATGGGCATCTGTAAGCTGTCATTGTTTTACAGATGCCTGTCAGATATTGGACACTAAATCTCTGTTCTTCCCTCCTATGGTCAGACTTGTGTACATAAAGGCAGCAATGGAGCCTCAGCAGCTCAGAATATGTAAATGACAACTGTCTGTAATAATCTGTAATAATCCTCTGAGACCACTCAGATCCATTGGCTCTGTTTAGGACTGGGTCAGAAAAAGAGTAAAAAATGGCCCAAAAATGGCTTGTGAGACAGACTTACAGATGGCAAGCCATTTGACAACACTTGCTGTAAGGTTGGATGCTTTTTCCTTCCAATGGATTTTAGTTCCACAATCTGGAATAGGAAAGTTTATTCCAGATAGGCCAATAAACAAAAATAAGGTAATGTAGGAGCTGTAAATTAAAAATAATAATAATGGGCACACTGTAAAGGAATCTACTTTGTTAGAACAACAGAATGGTTTGTGTTGAAAGAAACCTTTAAAGATCTTCTAGTCCAATCCCCCTGCTGCAAGTGTGATGTTTCCTTTTTCCAGTCACTGGGGGCTTCATCTGATTGCCATGACTTTTTGAATATGATGGAGTGACTTGGCAACTGCATGAGTTCTCCCTGCTGATAAGGATTCTTTGTATGAAAAAGGCCATCTCAGTCAGCATAGTAGTATGAGATCCCACAGGCAAAAGATGAAGAGATAAAGCCTCATTTAGTAGTCATTTAACCAAAAGAAACAATCTCTGGTGTTATCAGCACCTTCATGCTTCTTAGAAGTTGATAATTTAGCAGCATCTAGGATAGGAGGATTTTCCCTCCTGTGTTTTAAAAAGAGGAACATTTTGTTTCTGATATTACAGGCCATTTGATGCCGAAAGGTACCAGCCAAATGACAGGGATGGTAACATGCAACAGACCAGCAGTTGTTTC